GCGTTATCCAGCGGCGGGCTGGGCTGGGCCGGGCCGGGCCGGCCCGGGGAGGAGAGGAGAGGAGAGGCGGCGGCGATGGCCATTGTTTGCCTGCGGGTTTTTTCCCCCCTTTCTCCTGCTCCGGTTCCGTGCACCGCACAGTTATAAAAGCAAAAGCAGGGCAGGCGAAGACATGGCCGAGCTGGGCAAGGGGGTCACCGCGGGCAAGATCGCCAGCAACGTGCAGAAGAAGCTGACCCGGGCGCAGGAGAAGGTACCTGGCAGGGGCAGGGGCAGGGGTCCCCGGGGGGGTCGTCCCGCTCCCCGTGCATGGACGGGGAAGGGCACGTCGCCCCGGTGGGGGGGTGGGGGGGCCTGGGGCTCGGCCCCGGGGGGCTGCAGAGCCAGGCACGGCCCCCGCGGGGCTAGCGGAGCCGGGGGATTAGAGGTTGACATCGCGACCTTGCTCATCTTCCCCCCGAGCAGCCCAGGGCTTGGGCCTGCCTGCGTCCCCGCCGTCTGCTGGGGCTCATCCATCTCCTGGCATCCGGCTGCTGCCAAGGGAGAGGTTTTGAATCCGCTTTTTATTTCCCCCCCCCATAATCCCGCTTCGTGCCAGGGGAGTACACGGGGGCAGTGTGCGCGCCCGGCCGGCCCCGGCCCCGGCCCCGGCGCAGGGATTATCAGACATTTTACGCAGGGGCATGGATCCGCTGTTTTCATCTCCAGCCTGCCGTGTGGGCTGGCAGGGATTGCGGCGGCTCCCTTCCTTATGGAGGCAGTGTCATCTCTGTCTCTTCGGCAGCGCGGATCTGCCATGGCTGTTCCTAGGCCCCCAGGGTTATCTTTAGACCGGCTCTAATCTGGGAGACGGCGGGTCAGATTTAGCGGCGCCTGCACTATGTTCAGTCTGTTCTGCCGGAGCAAAGTACGTGTGAAACGCCAGCAGGTGGACTGGTTATTTGAGCCCCTGGGTCCCAGCTCTTCCCTGGCTTGCGGAGCCCACCGAGTTGCACCCGTCAAGTGAGATTGGAGCCGGGCCCGTCGGTTTGCCTGGCCGGGTTAGACTCGTCACAGCAATTGGATTCCCTCCTTTCCGCCCCGGACAGATGTCCTCCAGGGCTGGGGGGGTTACTTTATTCTTAACACCTAAATCTGTGGCCTTTTTACCCAGAGGAACGTCAGCTTGGGCCGACTCACGGGATGCTTCTGAAATGACTCCGCTCTAAACTCGCCACCGACTGAATTCATTCTGTATTAGCCATCAGATGGCAACCATATTTTTAGCTGGTCTCCGCGTGGGTGGTTTCAGCAGATGACCTACAGGTGCAAGACTTGGTGCCAGCTCTTTGCAATGGTTGAGGGGGTGACCAAGAATAGAGATTGGCCTTTTATGTCTTTCCTTCGCCTCGGACCTGAATATACAGACAGCATTATCCTGGGGCAACAGCTCTGCAGGTTTATCCTGAAAGTTTAGCTAGCCCAGGCTCAGATTTTACTCTCCTCTTAATGGCGATAACTCGGGGTGGGAGGTACCGTAGAAAGCTTAACCGTGCGTCTGGTGTAATTGCACGAAGGGGACGATAAATATTTATAGTGTCAAACGTCCGATTGCTGCCTCGAAGGAAAAAGAAACCAGCATGTTTTACAAAAAATAGTAACAGAAACTCAGTTGTTTCGTTGTTAAACTCCAAATGCAAAGAAAATGAGAGCGCCAGAAAGGTAACACCCGTTGGGCTGTGCGCGAAGTGAACAGGCTTTATAAAGTGGTTCATCCTGTAGCTGGCTTGGTCCAGCCTCTTCCATGGAGACTGTCTCATTATGGAAAAGGAGAATTTCCGTTTCTCTTGGGGAATGACTTACAGAAGTGAGCAACCCCCTTCATTTAGAAAACAGGGCAGAAAGCTACAGGGATACTGCTGTAGTTGCAGCATTTCTTTAGCTGTATATGTACAGCATGGCCATGTGGGGAAGCCAAGTTAGTGGTTTTGATGCCACAAGCTTGATAAACTGATAGACTCTATTCATTGACTCCTTTCAAATAATAAACCTCACTGAGTGTCTGATGGGAACATGCAGTGCCACTTTGTGGCCTGAAATAAGAATCGGGTCATTTTAAAGCCAGAGGGTGAGCAAAAGTTTGCTGAGACTAACTTGTGTACACAGCCACCCAGACATAAAAAAAAAAAATTAGGATTGGGTATCTGAGTCATCAAATAAAGTTTGCTTAATTGACTGGTCAAATCTTGGTCAAAAATTGTAGAAAAAATTGCCAGTAGGGCCAAATAATACACGGAAAAAGGGCAATTTTTCCATTAAGAAATATGTCAACAATAAAAATCCTATTTCTGTAAAGAAAAACTAAAACAATGTAGTTTTTTTGGTAAAATTGCTATAATCTTTGACCGGTCAAAAAATAGGCAGTCAAGTTGACTGGCTAATTGACAATATTTGACCAACCCGTTGTCAACCCTAAAAAATTATCCTAAATGGATGTGGCTTGGGATTTTGCTTTCCTTTCAAGGCTTCTGTACTCTGCTGCGTAAACAAGTTGGCAGTGTCTCTGTTAAGCATCCTCTTTAGGTTTTGTATTTGCAATAAGCATTCCTCTCTTCAGATTGATTTTTTTTTTCCTCTTTTTTTTTCCCCCCTCCTTCAGCCTGAGTTCTTAGACTTTATGATCTCAGCAATTTCCTTCATGGTGAATTTGAGCCTTGTATTGAACAAAGAATGATATCTTGTTCTTGAGGGCAGAATTCACACTGGGACACTGTACACATACCCTTATGAGATGCCTATTATGTATAGTACGAAAGATGTCCCTTCAGATGGGGGTTGTATCTACTTGTTGTCAAAGCTGGTGGTTTATTTCTGGAAGATGCTTTCTTAGGTCTATTGGAAATAGCCAACCATCTTGTTGCACGTGTGATTTAGGAATGGGATGTAAAACCTCCCTCTCACTCAGTGAATCAAATTCATCGTGGAATTATAGTGAATAAAAATCATTTCCATCTGCTTTTTCAGTAGTCTACAAAAAGTGTCAGCCTAGTTACTGGTGGACAGGTATCTACATGGCAAAAACAACCATTAAATCACTCCCTTCTTTGCAGTCTTGACAGAGAAAGTAGTGATTAACAGGCCTTAGAGCTAGTCATTGTACAATGTTTTTGTTGGTAGGACTCCAGTTTTGCTGCAAGACTGTGGGCTTGTCTACATGTGGCCCTTTTAAGTGGGATTAGTCTGAAATTGCCATTTTTAAGGCACATTAAGTGCGTGTATTCACACGTGCATGCCCTTAACGCACCTTAAAATAGTGATTTTTTTTTTTTTAGGCTAATCCCACCTAAATTTGATACCTGCTTAAAGCAAGTACCAAATTTAGGCTGGCATCGCTAACTCTCATTAGCCCACACATAGACGCTTCGTGTGCATTAATGTGGCGTGCATCAATGGATGCACACCATGTTAATGCACATTAGTGCGGTTATGCATGGTCTAATGCGACTTGGCTATGCCAGCCTAAATTTGGTGTGCCTTAATGCGCCCCTAAATCTCTGCCTTAAAGGTGCGTTAAGTTTACACGTGTAGTTACACGCGCCTAGACACGCCTTGTGAGTATGTTCACACTCACACTTCTTCTTGTAAGTGGCACACTTGGCTCTGCCTGCACAGTTACACCACGTCTGCTAGGCAGAGTAAGGCTGCTGCCCTCCAGAGTAAGGCCAGCAGAAGGTCCATATTGGCTTGCCTGTGCCTTCTGCCAGCTGCCGGGGCTCCTTCAGCCGGTAGTGTCAGGGTGCACCTCGTACTCTGGTGGCACAACAGCTGAGCAGAGCCACACACAGCTACCAGAAGCGCTTGGATGCTCGCAGGTCTTGGACGTGCAGAGCTTTTGCAGCCGAGTGAGCTGTATCTACAGGCTATGAGCTACCTCTCAACTATTGAAGTGGTCCTTTGTAGCTAAGGACGAGGCATCTTGGGGTTACAGGTGTGGGAGAAGCATTTATTGCTATTATCCATCTTGAAAATAACTGAAGGATCTTTTGATTTTGAGATTTGAATGACTGTACCTTTCGTGGATTTTTCTCCGTTTCCTTTGAAGGGAACTGTTGTCCCGTAAACACGATGCAAGTTTAAGAAGCAGCCTAGTGCTTGTGTACTTATGTCATGGACTAAGCACTCCACAATCTAGTTTTCTTTCTTCTTTTAGCCTATAATAATCTAGTGGCTCATCTAGGGTTTAAATATTTCCATTCTCTATTCAACGAGGTCACTTTTTACAGCACTTTTTTTTTTTAAATGCCATTTTATGTTCTGACTTGTGGGATCCTAACTTTGTCCCAGGCATTTGCTGTTTTTTGACCGTCGGTCTGCATGAAGCCACAGATTCACTCAAATATATATAAAAAAAAACAAGTTTGAATGGTTTTAATGAATTGTGGGGTTGCAGCTCTTGCAGGCTGAGGCTGAATTAAGGGCCAAAAAAATGATGACCAGTTCCTTGTTGCTCAGCTGGTCGTAACTGGACACGTCACACAGACAGCTGGCTTGGTCCTAACTAGCATCCTGCACTGCTGGTGAGAGCATAGAATTAGAAATGATATTTGCTGTGGAGAGTATTTTAGGATTTAAGATGTCTGGAGGTGAAGGAGAGAAACAGCGTGGTGCATTCAAGGGATACAAAATGAAGACGTTTTGCCTCTTCATAGGAGGAGTAATAGGTCATTTTCTTCCTTGCTGTCCCAGCTGTGTGGGTGTGGATGATCTGGGGGACTTGGTGATCTGACAAGAGTATCAGCCCCTTTTTACTCTCTGTTCATATATTACATGAAAAGACCTCTGCATCCAGATCCCCCTTTCATATCTTCACGGGAGATCATTCTTCTAGAGTTACGACATAACGTGAGGTGCACTCGTTTGGTTGAAGCTGACACGCCAACACCCAGTCTGTCTTTTCTCTCCCGTCTCCAGTCCCAGTCTAAAGAAGATAAAACCCGGAGGCATTCCTCCCAGGTCCGGCTGAGTTTCAATCATGATTTATACGGTGCAAGGAGAGAGTAGTTTAGGCCGCAGGACTGGAGGGCAGGATTCTGCCACTGACTTGCTGCGTTACCTTGGGCACATTACTTCAACTCACCCCCGCCCCCCCCGTGTAAACGGGGTCATTTCATACATCCATTTCTGTGCAGAGTCTGTGATGTCCTAAAAATAAAATGTTCTGGAAGAGCAGAGTTTGCTCGCAGTTCCTCATGGGCATAGGGCTTTACATACTAA